TAAAAACGAGCACTTCTAAATGACATCTCAAGATAAAACATACACCAATTTTAAAGTAACATTTTTAGGAACACAACTGTGAAAATTACATCCATTTCTGTACAGTAGTTTTTACATAATACTGAACAAACAGACCAAAAGACAAAATTTCTAAAAAAAAAATATTTTGGCTTCTATTGTTTTTATCAATTAATCTTAAATATTTCTCATAAATAGAAATCATTTAGTTTCAATTTTATTATATTAGTAATAGTGTGTACAGATATGGAGTGTCCATATAGAGATTATCATTACTATTGAGAGTAGATAGGTAACTACTTATATTTTTTTTTTTTTATACAACTTATAGTGGCAAACAAGCTGATGGCCCACCTTATGGAAAGTGGTAACATGACAGAGTATGATGGACATAACAGAGTATACTGTTTCGCCCATGATACCCCCATGCGTTGCCATTCCTGAGGACTCAGATGTTATTCCTATGTACCCTGTAAATTCACGCCATATCCCACCCTTCAAACCGAAACACAGCCATGCAAACACAACTGCTTCACGATAGAAACACGAATGGGACAGAGGTACCCAAGCAATCGACATTTGTACAAAGTCTCCCAATGGTATTAAGTACTTATATTAAGTTTTTGTTAGTGGTCGCGGTTTGGTAACTATTACCATTTTATCGTTTAAAACAATATATAGTAATAATAAATTTAGATCAAAGACTCTTATACGAAATTCGACACCGTTATTGTTATCGAAATAAATCACGTAACTAGTTCGTTGGTATGCTATTGAAGAAAATACTTCATTGAAAATTTAAACATTTATGGGAACAAAATCAAGTAAAACTATTGTAATATGTAAAGTTAAAACAAATGCATTTTTTTTCTATTCATAATTAATGTAATTTTTTTTTTTGTTGGCAATAAATGTTTTCTTCTTTCTTTCTAATATTACCATATTATATTTTTTTTATTATTGAACATTTTTAGCAATAAATTCATTCATTCATTGAAAATCGGTTAGCGCTTTACGCAGGAAGTGAACTTAGGTAACCTTGGCATGCTTTAAAGACCTATGTATGCTTTAGTTTGTTCACATATAATATGGCAAGTCAATTGACTAATATTTTACTGTAATAAAAGTTTAAATATTTTTTGTGATAAATTTATATATTAAAACCTTTCGTATATACTCATCATAGTCCACTTAGTAACATTATATACAGATATACAATTTCATAAAACACCCAGCAAATGTTATTTTAGCCACCTACCGGGTTCATTTTTCTTATCGGTGTAAAAATATCCTATATCTAAGATTAAAGCAAACAATACACATAACAAATTCTCATTTAAATCAGTTGAACAGTTTCAAATACTATCAATATATCTCATGACATGGAATTTTTATGTATTGGGAAGATACATTGACAATAAAAAGTAGTAGGTTTAAAAGAGCTTATATTAGACAGCATATAAAAAAATTTTAAGATTTACAAAAAAAAAGCACCATAAACTTTCTGTGTTTTATATTTTGTATTTTCGAATGCTTTTAGTGCTGGAAAATCTTTATTATCAATAAATAGTGACAGTAGTGTAATAATAATAGCTATCTTTTTTTATGGAACTAGAGCCTAAAGGAAAAAAGCAGTCGTCGCCTACAAAATTATATCATAGGTATTACAGAATATACTGTGACGCCTATGACACCCCTAATGAGTCGCCATTTCTAAACACAAAGATGTGATGCCTTTGTACCCTGTTATTTCTATGCTATTTCCCGCTCTTTAAAGCTAAACATAGCAATGAAAACACAACAGTTTTATGGCAAAAATACAAGTGGATAGAAGCTCACATAAAGATACCTTTTGTGCAGTCTCTGTCAGCTACAGTACTTGATTTATTTATCTCTATACTATACCAATAACAATATTGCAAAAATATTAATGCAAGTTATATTTCTTACTGGACTGTTCAAATGGCACATGTTAGTTTACTGATAAGGTTAATTAATGACAATTGGACATCATATCATTATCACAGATTAATTATTCTGTATACATACAATGTAAGATGCAATTATCTCCATATACCACATATACTTATAAAATTAATACTATTTCATATATAACAATTGTGCATGGACTCATTTATTTATTTATTTGATACTGAGTACATTACATATAAATATTAAACAGAAAAAGTGGGCTTAATGCTATATAGCTTTTACTTTCAATTAAACTTTGGAAAAATGAAACTGAAATTATGCGAAATAAAAATGTTCAAAATTGTTAAGGTAAAATAATTCCTTCCATTTATATAAATATTATATACTTATACTACATTACATATAAATATTAAATAGAAAAAGTGGGCTTAATGCTATACAGCTTTTACTCTCAGTTAAACTTTGAAAAAATAAAATTGAAATTATGCAAAGAAAAATGTTCAAAATTGTTATGGTAAAATATTTCATTCTTTTTATATTAATATTATATATTTATTTTCTTTAAATAAATTACTTTCAATTAAAAGACTTTCTGGATCTCCCAGGTAAAGTGTTCTCTGCATAACTACAATTTCTGTTCAAACTATTAATTAAATATTTTTGATGGAACTATAAATAATATCTATCTATATATCTAACTTTTGCATAATACTACTCAAAAAGAAACTTTATAATAAGAAACTATTTTAATATGTAGTACTATAATATGAAAACATGCTATCATGCTAATTTCAGAAACTACTAAATTGATTTTAATGAAATTTGAATGTAAATTTGTATTATTTTCTGCAACTTGAGAGGTAGATCATCCATTTTTCGGATTTGATACCAAAAAGGTACAAAGGAACCCATATGATGTGACATTGTCCATCCATCGATCTGTCACAGCACTATATCTCAGCAATTATTAATGTTATAGATTTAAAATTTGGGATAGTTTTAAATATTGGTGGCCCATACATATGTAATTTAATATAAAAGTAATATAAATTGGACTCTCTTTTCCACGCATAGCCTCTCATTTGGACCATTGTGCGTATGAGTCGATCTAGTACAGCCAGCCCAGCTCCGCCCAGAAGCACAAAAGCTTCCTGGGATCTTCACAAGCCTCACGGAGCGACCTATAAGTGGCCTATATAATAGAAATAATTGAGACGATATTTTTAATTTCTTCACTAGAGGGTACTCAATATATCAAGATTGACTTAATAGCTCCAGGTATCATATGAAAAGGCTTCCTTCATACATTTTAAAAGTAATTTTTATGCTGCAAAATTTTTTATTCACGATCAAAACCATGAAAAAAACAATCCCTTTTCTCTTTATTATCAAGGTTTGTGAAAGGAAACATTTTAAATAATTACAAATATTTGGTCCAGTTTTTAACCAAAATTATGGGCTAAAATAAAAAATTATGCATTTTAATTTATTAAATGTATTATTTAATTTATTAAAAATATATTTTTATATCTTTTTTTATTCATTAATAATATAATTTTTATTAAAAACCATTTCTTTATTTCTTTCTTATTTAAAATATTTTTGGAGTTTTAATATGACTAGTCATTGCCAAACAATAATTTTTAGTAATTTTATTTGTCTGTCTGTTTGTTCTAGCATCATGCAAGAACTACTGCACCAAATTGGATGTGGTTTTCACATTGTGTATTCTCAGAGGACTAACATAAAATCTGGAATATATTTAATTTTGATACACCATCTAGAAGTGGTATATTTTATTGACTTTCCTACTGCTATATGAAGTAGCAGGTAAAAAGCTCATTGATTAAAAATGGTAAGTATGACAAATGTTATCTCCACAAAAATGACAATTATGAATTAACGCTATATATTAAAATTTAATTTATCTTATATACAAGATGGAACAGAAAATATATAATAAATCCAAATTCCGACGATAGTGATTATTATATTATTGGAAAAAAAATCCAATATAATACATAATTTATACTAATTTAAAAAAAACTGTTGTCAATTATTATTGTCAAACTAATTAGTTATTAGATAAACAACTTGAACCATATTGATAAGAGAGTATCCTTCTGTTTTATAAATAGTTACTTAGTATCAATAAATTTTAGACTATTGAAATCTTTCCATTGTATCCCGTACACTACAATAGAACACTGTTATCTGATTACCACTAAGTGCACCCACTGACCAATACATATCTGACAAAGTCCTTATCCTGTGAATTATTAGCACACAAGTATAGACAATTATAATGATAATATGTTAATATATATATTAACACATATAAAATCCAATAAATTACACTGAAATAAGTTTAATTTTACTTAAAATGTATTTTTAAAGTAGTAATGAGTATTTACACTGCAATTACAAGTCAACTTACATTGTATTGCTATTGATATAAACAACATGTACCTACTATGTCGACAATTAGAGTGGCAAAACTGTAAAGAACTTTTCAATAATTATAGTTTTTTTTTTTTATTATTTTATTTATAGTTTATACTTAAATTTATTTCTCTACATTCTATTAACACCCTAAAAGTTCCAATATCAAAGGTAAGCCAAAATGTAACTTCTTGTCCTAATTAGGATAACCGTGATATACATTTCGTATTAGATGTATCATATATTTCATGAATTTATAAAAGAAAAAGATGTTTAATGGGTAATATTCATAAATATTTGCCGAAAAGAAAATAAAAAAATATTAGGACGAGAAGCCAAAAAAGCCTCAATATCTACTTATTATTGTATAGTTGGTACCATGCACGTAGCAGTAAAATATGGAGGATGCATATCTGAAACCCTAAAAAATCTCGTCCCAGATTAAATGGTTTACAGAAGCATCAATTATTTAGTGAAATTATTGTTTATATCAACTGACTTGGATGTTTTTTAGTGATAAAATACACTGTAAAATGAGAATTACTGTCAAATACCACACGATCGCACCGCCCTATGCTTATGTTGATGTACTGAAAATTCTTACTTACCACGCTGAAGAATGACATATTCCATAAAAAAAAGAAATATAGAAGAACAGAGATTAAAACTATGATGAATTTTTACAGAAATCGTGTAGAATTTAGTTAAGTTTCACTATTTTTCCCACAAAACAATAACACTACGCGCAATCACTATCGGACCACCACACTGAAGTTGCTGACAGCTAGATCAATACAGCCAACTTAACACAGAAAATAAATCAATTATTTCGGAACGACTTCATGCGGGTTCTATGGATTTTGTTTTGTAAGTAGGTACATAGTGTGAACGCACAATACCTTAGAAAAATTATGGGATTCTTTTCGTACGTTTTTTAGACCTAGTGTAATTTTTTTTCTAGTCACAAAAATCAATATTGTACTTAACGCATATTATATATTTAAATCCATTATTATTTAATAATTTTAATGTTACAATTTAAAAAAGATGTATAGCTCTTAACGCGTGACCGTCCGAAAATCAGAACTGAAACTTCTTTCTATTTTCATAATGGGTCTTCATTCCTATTTAAATTTATCTTTAATTTCCCCTACAATTTTTTTTCGATAGTCATACCAAATTGTAATGTACCACTAATTATCTTTTTTATTTTTTATATAATAATAATTATTATTATTTTAATTTAAATTAAACTAATTTTAAAAATTTGTATTTAGATATTTTTTAATAGGTGAAAATGAAATAGTATACGCTGGTGAGGCATTAGTGAAAGATGATAACAATGAGGATAAAAGCAAATCAGTTGACTCATCTTGAAAAATTCATCAAAAAAAATCACGATGGTTTCCAAAGGAAACCATGTGGGGGTCGACCTGTTAGGGTAAATTGCTAGTAATAGGTTTTTAAATCCCATTACTAACAATCCTTTTCTTCACAGAAAATCCTAGATATTATAACTTAATGAATTAAATAAAAATTATAATAAGCCTTTTTTTGTTAAATTCGGATTTTCGACTAACTTAAATTTATGAAAAAGACTGATATAAAAATTTTGTTTTTGGTTTTAATATCCGTTATCTTTTTATCAAAATATAGAATGCCTTATTTTTTTAAATCACCAAATTTATTGAAGACGATAGGTACCTATATATAATTGTGAAAAAAAAAATCGAAATCAGCCTTTGTAAATATTATAATAAAACTTAGTATTTTTAAACAAAGACGATGCTACTGTTAATGAGAATTAAAATAAATAAACAGAAATGATCCTATCATAACATGATGAAGTTTTTCATGATATCTTAGGTAATGAAGCCATCTTAGGAGGGTAATTAGGAGTAGATACTGTGGAACAAGATAGATAATCGAAGGAGAAGAGGATAATGACAAGGTACATAATAAATAACTTTTAAATTTTTATGTATCTGAGCAAGAAGCTAGAGTGATCATAAATCCCTTGTACATATAATTAATGAATAATAAATATATTTTATATACTGAAATGTACTTTGCTCGTACACATACTTTTCGAACCAATTTCAGTGTTGCCAGATAAAATGAACCAAAATGTGCCAAAAATTGGATCTCCCCCAAAAATAGTCTAGTCACATAATTTTTTTTATTACAAATCGCTCAAATAGTGAATGAATAAATAAAATAAGCCACCCTTCTTTTGCCGTTGGAGTCGTAAGAGGAAACCAAGAGAAATTAATGGTCTAGGGATAGGCAGCAGTGTCCCTCTTAAAACTTCACCAAAGTCTTACTGTGTTTGCAAATCCGCCTGCTAAGCATGGCAACTACTAACGAACACCTTTTTTTGAGAATACCTATGTCCAACAGTGGAGAGTAGAGGGTTGTTATAATAATGATGATGATGATAATTTTTCACATATAATTTTGTAAACTGTAATTATTTTGGATTTGATGCTTGCTTGAACTTCAAAGATAGGGAAAGTTATTTTTTTTTGTTAAAAATTAAAAACTACATACTATAACAATAATTAAAAAGTAGTTTTAAAATATACAAACGAAGTCATTTCATATGGTATCCCAGATAGACTGATAGGATTATTTTGAAATTTTCAGTACCCGTTTTGGAGTACAAATAGACTACTAAAGGTGTGTGCTGATAACCAAAAACTACGCAAAATTTCAAGTTAATATCATTATTCATTGTTGAGACAAAGCGCGGCGACAAGTGAACAAGTTACACGTAACATAAAGCTTCCTTTGTATTATTTTGGGACGGAATTATAATATCCGTTTAAGTGGCAGTAAATAAAACTCTTTTATATAAAATCCCACTGGAACTAAATGATTCGTTTTGAAATTTTAAACACTTGATTTGGGTACCCTAGTAAAGAAAATAAAAATGTTCTGTAATGTCTATCGACCAATATTATCTAAAACTATTTAAGATTTTAATTGAATATTACTAATAGTATTTAAGATAACGGTGCATTGCTCTCGATTATGTCAAGTAAAAATGTATCGAGCAAAGCTCGCCTTGCTATAATTCAAGGAGTACTGACACCAACACTCATGTATGGAAGCGAATCGTGGGTATGGCAGAAGAAGCATGAAAGTAAGATAAATGCTGTACAGATGAGAGCTTTGAGAAGTATGTGTGGTATTACTTTAAAAGATAGAGTAAGAAACAGTGTGATCAGAGAGAAGTGTGGACTGAAAGTCGATGTAGTGACCAAAATCGAAAAAGGAATGTTGCGTTGGTTTGGTCATTTGGAGAGGATGGATGAAAGAAGAATTACGAAAGAGATTTATCGAGCAAGAATGAATGGAGATGTCGGTAGGGGCCGCCCTAGACGGACGTATGTCGACCAAATAGGCGACGTGCTGAAGAAGGGCCAAATTAAAAGTACCCGTAACCGACGAGCGTGTATGACAAGATTGATGAATGTGGAAGAAGCGAAAGAGGTTTGTTTGAATCGAAGCATTTGGCGTTCCATTGTTTCTGCCTACCCTAATGGGAGACAGGCGTGACAGATATGTATGTATGTATGTATTTAAGATATTTATGACAGTTGGACGGACTGATAAAATTGGATTCTATCGCTGGATTGCAATTATACTCAATGTTTTACAGTCAATCATTGATTACTAGTTTTATTTCGCAACTACGCTCGCATAAATCACCACATAAAGTATCCTATATGCTCAGTTAAGAAATAAAGTACTCATGTACCGAATTTTATTTAAATCTATTACGTAGTTTTTATATGAGAGAATAACAAACATCCATTCAATTATCGTTACAAACTTTCGCATTTATTATATTAAATAGGATAGAGGCTAGTGGCAACATTGCTAGCAGTACCGGTCTCCCTAATAACTATTGTTACTCTACAGATTTGTAACAATGGGCTAACTGACCTAATTTCATTTTCATCTATCATCTTTCAGCTTCACTGGTGTTCCGCCAGCGTATACTGATAATGCAGGCGATGTTATCATCATTGGCGTATTTATGACAATTTTCCAAGGAGGACTTAGTCCTTTAAAAAAGGTCCATATATACCTATTCTTAGACATTTAAAAAAGGATAAATTAGATACATTTCATAAATGTTATTGAAAAATTATAAACTTGTAAAATGTACCTATGACTTGTTACGTTTTAAGAAATCGTAAATAAAAAGATCAATTTATACTAAACTAAATAAATGTTTCTTTGTATTAAACTTAAATTTATTATTTGTAAGGTATTCGTATATAAGAATGAATTCGCTCTTTTAAGATAAAAACATTAATTTTAACAAATTCAAAACCATGCCACAAAAAAAGGAATTTAATAAGTTTTGATATTAAGTGAGAGGAAATAATAAAGATAATTTTTATATCACTAAATGCTAATAAATATCAGATACTATGACAAATACATTTGAAAACTTGCTATATTTGCTCCAAAGTTCTATTAAATGTTCTTTATACCTAAAGATTGTTCGTAGATTATTCTCTTAAATTGCCGAATTTTTTCGATTTAGCCTAAATGACAACTGTTCGCCAATCGTTTTAGGTCACCCCGTCACCCTACTAGATAGCCTAAAAAGCGAAAAGTCACCTAACCTAGCAACACTGCTTAATTTTTACAACAAAAAGGTTGTGTTAAAAAAATGACAATTTGTCATTGTCAATGTCAGTATTTGACAATCTTTGACGTCCAATGTCTATTTCCAAGCTCAATGGGTACATTTTGTTAATTTTCTTTGTGAATTATAGGCTTTTCATAAATATTTAAATTTATTTTCGAGTTCGCAAGTCATGCTTTATCTAAAAAATCTAAAATAATGTATGCTAAAACTGTGATTTTTATAGAATTAAATATCGTGAATTATATTGTGTTTTATGACAAATGTGGTGATAAAATATAATGAGGTCGATCGGTGTCTTTAAAAAATTTTTTATAATGGCTGTCTTTTTATGTATTATTCTCTCAATATTGGTTTGGTCAAATCTTGGTATTCTAAGGTATGTCTTATAACTAATGTATATATTTTAATGGGGTATTGCCAGTATTAAAAAGTGTCTAAGCATATTAAAATTGCACTTCTAATAACAAATTTTTGTAATTGTGAAATATATTGTAATTTCTATATAGGTATCTGTTTTTTTCCTTACATTATCCATTATTCAACTTTTCTGATCCTTATCCTAAATTCCGTCGTCCAAAACTCCCTTTACTAAAATACTCTTTCCCATACTTTGTTTTTGGAGGATGCACTTTGTGCCATGCCATATGAAGAGAGAAAAAAATTACAAGTTTTTATTGCTGTACAATTATTGTCCCTAACCCCTATTGTAAGAGATTAATGGGGGTAACAACCCTTAACATAATTATTTTCAGTAGCTATTAAAGACATATTAATGAAATTTTAATTGTACTTGAGTATTCTTAAGTTAATTATTATATTAATATTATAAAAAGATTTTGTTGTTTGTTTGTATTTGATAAACTTAAAAAGTACTCATTGTAAAATTATTATTTTACTTATAGTAAACTACATTATCGGTGTGTAACATAGGATATATATTTTTTCGAAAATCCAATTAGAGTATACTCTTAATGGTACTATGGGTACTTAGAAAAATTTTGATGAATTTTATAATGTCGCATTAACCCCACTTTTATGCACCCATCGGATATGGCTTCTCAAGTGGATCAACTTTAGCCATGTGACATTTTTTATTTCATTTCTGAGTTATACAGGACCAAACATTTTGGACTACTGTAACACGGGAACAGGGATGAGTTAAATATATGACAATTGAAGTAAACATAACTAACAATGTTTCATAATTACATTATATTTTAATACAAAAATATTGCCTTTCTATTATCAAAATTAACAAGAGTTGCTATATCCTACATAATGTTTAACATAATTAGCGATGTTATTAATTTGGCACATTAAACTCACATTATTTGCATTAACATTAATTAACATAATATCAGCACTTACTCCCAGCTAAAGTAACAAAATGAAACGAAGAAAGAATATTCATTGCCAGTTGCCATGTTGATATTTATGCATAGAAAGGTATCACAGGAAAAAACGGAGTAGAATTCTTTTGTATTAGATAATTCTTTCCTATGATATTAGTAAATAAAATATCATGTACTTATGATTATGGTAACCCTCACCAACTAGCCTCATCTTTGTTAATAATTGTAATGTTTTTTTGCTATAATAATGTGGCCAACAACCAAAATAGTACAAGACAATAGAAATTAAGAATTAAACATAAGATAGGTATACATACTAAGATTTTATGTATTTTCTTTATATGAAGTGAAGAAAGTTGGTAATTTTTTATCAAATTTAAAAAACACCATACCAGGGCTTGTGTTGTATAACAGTTGAAAAAATAGTCAAATTGATTCAGTACTTTAATAGTTTAATTATTCTTGCCGACAAACAAAAACAATTATTTTTTTATACCATGAAGGTGGCAAACAAGCTTACAGCCCATCTGATGGTAAACGGTCACGGCAGCCTATGTACACCTGTAACACTATGCGTGTCACGTGCATGTTACTGATTCTGATAAAAACCTTAATACACACACTTTTTGAAGAATCCTAGGAAAAAACAGTAGGGAGCTCATTTCACAATCTGAGTGTTTGTAGGAGAAAACTTCTTTAAAACTGTACTAAATAATATCTGAAATATCTAAAAACCTTCGATGACTTTGCCTTTGCCCGCATGTAAAAGTTAATATTGAATAAAGTAATGTATTCTTCAATAATTATTGTGAACCATACTGAATTGTATCAGCCGTTAATTGTGAAATCATAGTGTATTATAATTAAATTATGTACTAAATAGAAACCCCAATTGAATATGTGATATTTCTTTCAGTTTTGATAATATAGATATCAAAAGCATTCCAGTGAAAAATAAAATATGCTATGTCAATTACAATGATGAAAGGAATCATATGAACAACAAGACAGAATTAAAAATGATATATTATGTAACACCTACTTATCCAAGGCCAGAACAAGTTCCTGAACTAACTAGGCTTGCTCACACTTTGATGCATGTGCCTCAAATACATTGGATAATTGCTGATGATCAACCACTATGCTCAGAACAAGTCTTGAATATTCTAAAGTAAGTCATAATTTTCGTGTTCTTCTATATATATATATATATATATATATATATATATATATATATATATATATATATATATATATATATATATATATATATATATATATATATATATATATATATATATATATATATATATATATATATAGTACATACACATACATAGAATATATATTAAAGTAATAAAATATAGGATAATATTATACCACATTTTAGCAATAAATTTTACTTATTAATTCATAATATTTCTTAAATTACTAAGTTAGTGAGGCAGTTTTATTAAACAGTAATATATGTTACAATATTTTATAAAAGAATCATCTTTTATAGTCCAGTGATATCAGTTATCTCTAAAATTTTTATTTTTTATTTTTATTGTTTTATATACACACAAATAATTTCTCATAGTGTTTTTTTTTTAGTTCTCTGCTATCAAGAACAACATTATATTTTCCAATTCACAGTTACAACCTCATTGTGCTTATAAATAATTAATTCTATCATGCTAATATTATAAATTAACAATAACATATTATATGAAAAATAAATAAAGAAAGTTTGTAAAGATGTTCATTACATAATCACACTTAAATCGCTAAACGGATTAGAAATAAATTTAGTGCTTGATTAGGTTTTATTACAACTTAATTCATAAAATACACTGAATCTTATTAACCCGAGCAAACCCGCTGGTATATAGCTATTATCAAATAAACCTTAACATATGTTTTTTTTTCATAATTACAGACGATCACGTCTACCCTTCACTCATCTCTCTAGTCCTAAGCCATATCTATATAAAGGAGGAAATTTTCCCCGAGGTGTAGCCAATCGACGTGCAGCAGTCTCTTGGCTCCGCGACAATGTGCAGGATGGCGTACTATATTTTGGAGATGACGATAACACTGTAGATTTGCAATTGTTTGATGAAATTAGGAATACTAAGAAAGTATCTATGTTTCCAGTAGGATTAATTGGAGGATTTGGTGTATCAACTCCTATAGTTAATAATGGAAAGGTAATTAATAATTTTATTGTGATGAAATAGTAGCTTATTTTTGCTTTATTAGAATAGGCCACCGCTTCCTTACCCATGGACTTTGTAAGAGTCGACTAAGGAAAGGCGAGTGATGGGCAGCAGCGTTCCTTTTAAAACATCTCTATAAGCCTAACTGCGGTGACCAACCCGTCTACCAAGCGTGGCAACATCTGGAAAAACTGCCCTTATGGGGAAGGCTTATGTTCAGCAGTGGACAGTTGACAGCGATTCTCTAATTAAATCAAAAAGTGATAAAAAAGAAAATTATACATGCCTTTAAAATATTTTCTTTTGTTTGTAGATGTAACATAAGTATAAAAATACTTGTAGTACAATTGCTCTTCTCATAAACTTTATATACGAATTTTAATTCCTATTAAAAATATAATATCCAAGTCCTTTTAGAATATGATTCTTGAGGGAATAATCCTTACTAATATTGTGAAAATGGATAAACTCAAAAAATACTCAACTAATTTTAATAATTCTTTCACCTATAGAATGTTACATTATCAGCAAGTAACATGGACTATATGTTATTTTCGTAAATAATCGTACGAAGTTGGACTGAATCGGATATTAAATTTAAAATTACGTTTTTCTTTAAACGTTGTTATTATTAAAATACAGTAATATCATACTTAAAGTAAGCAATGAAAGTTATTCTTTGTAGCTGTAGAGACAAAGATCATATTGTGCTGTGGCATCTCTGTACTAAGAATTTATACTAATTACACTTAGATTTGTTTTTTTATTTCAAATGCTAAATAATTTAAAAATATGTTTTTTCAACTGCCTTAACACGTCGCATTCCATATTGATTCCTTATTAATTGTTGAATGTATGCCATTTCAGGTCATCGGTTTCTTTGACTCATGGCCGGGATCTAGAAAATTTCCTGTGGACATGGCCGGCTTCGCTGTCAACATAGAATTCTTGAAACCTTCAGCTAATATGCCATACATCGCCGGCCACGAAGAGGACCGGTTCCTGGTTAGTTTAGGTTTAAAAATGGAAGACATCGAACCTTTAGCTGAAAATTGTTCTAAAATACTTGTCTGGCACACAAGAACAGTTAAATATAAGAAGCCTACATTAAAAGTTAATATAGATAAATTAGATAATAAAAAGTACCCCAATTTTGTCCATTTGCTTAAAGAAACGTCCAGGTTAGGGATGGCAAATCTGGACCCTAGTACTGGTACGAAGGTATTTGTGACACGTGATCGTCGAACTTACGATAAACTGCCAGGCTTGCATTAAACTTTTTTAAATTGAATTCTGTTTGTAATTAACATTAAGTATTTTGAACAAAGAACAACAAAAATTTTACCCCGATTGGCGGGAAATGTTATTATTGTATTTTTATATTATAAAGTATTATTTATTGAATTGACAAAGAAAATTTTTCTTATTAACAGTTGATTACTCTGGACGTATTTTATTATTTGATAAATATTATCATGTATTTTAAGCTCTGTCGTGTTTAGCTACCAAAAAACCTATAAGACAGAATATACGACAATCGTTTACAATATTTTGCAATTGTTTGTTATAGAAATTAAAAAAATAATTACAATATAAAAGTTGCAAATTGAAAGCTATTTTTTTTATTGTATTTGCTAACGGAGAGCTCGGAAACTACTACAAAGACAAGCGATCAAAGGGTTAATAGTTCAAGCTTATGTATTTTTTTTTTTTCATTATTTTTTATACTCAGAAGAACTTAAGTTTGTAGAACAATACAATATTGTTTTCTAAGACAGGACATTGAATTGCTTTATTTTAAACAATAATAAGTAATTTTATTTTACTCAATACAATTTAAAATAACAAATATATTTGGCTCTTACTATATGAGGCGCCATTATATTCTTTATTTAACTGATTATTGATATATTTAGATATTTTTTACGTATTAATAATACGTGTAATATATACAAAAAATTATTTCCTTTTTATATTTGTATGAATGATAATTGATTTCTTTCAATCACGTCTTTTTTTTTTATACAACTTAGAATGGCAAACAAGCTGACGGCCCACCTGATGGAAAGTGGTAACCGTCGCCTATAGAGTTCAGAGTTACTACCATCCATGATTGAATAACTGACATAATCTCTTCGAATATTACCATTTACCAAAGAGTAGAACCATTAAGTATATAATAATTTTCCTATAGTATATTTAATTTTCACATTATTATGTGTTCATTTATTAATTTTGTGTTACTTTTTAAAAAATTGATTTAAAATTGTATAATTTGGACTTAAATCTATTATAAATTTAGTTAAGATAATTTTGATATTGACTATAAAATCTCTGTGGTATAAAATTAAAGTTTTAGGTGTAGGTAGAATTGACCCCGTTGTCGTTCTTTATTGGTTGTTCGAGCAAGTTCAAAAATTTTATATAAATTTGTATATATATATATAATGTACTATAGTAGTCTAAAAATTAGCTAAGTTAACATCAGCAATAATAATAAGCGATATACTTATTAAACAATTTAGATCTTAATAAATTAGCACTCAATTGAAAGTGATCTGGTTTTTGTGCCTAAACATTTGCGTGTAAATAAAAAAAAAATAATTATGTTCAATGCTCTTTAAACTTAGCATAGTTTGTAGTAGATAGTAATCTCTTAATAAAATATAAAAAGTCATTGTGATACACTAAATACGCAGATTTTAAATAAATTTTCACAATATTTAAGGGGTTGTTATGATATAAAAAAATCTCTAGGTCTAAATAAATACACATCTTGTTGAGATTCTTTAGGTAACTAAACTTTCGTGGCTCTTACGGCGACAAAAAAGTTTTATACATATAAATATGGATTGATAATCCGTAAAAATAAATGGTGAATTTTTATATTAGAGAGAGACTTTGTACAATAGTCGTCTATTTGGTTATCTCTGTCTCGCTTTTGTCCCTGCCCTTTGCTGTGCCGTACAGCTGTGCTTCGGATTGAAAAGTGGAATATGGTAGTGAAACTATAAGGTATGCGGAGACAATATCTTAATCCTCAGGAATTGCATTATATGTTCACGTTACGAGAGACGATTTTAACTTTCCATCAAGTAGCTGTCTCCTGAATTGCGACTCTATGTTATAAAAAAACTTCTTATATGAGGAATGTAATTTATTCTAGCAGATCTTAAGTATCTAAATATACATACCACTTTGGTATCAAATAAAATTGAAAAAAGAAATCTTACTGGTAACAGGGGATTTTCAATCCAACACTACGCGTAACGTCTTTCGACCACATTATAAGTTGTAAATGTAAAATTAAAATTTATGTTACTTTATTAAGACAGTGATTAGAAAAATAATTTCCGATTTAGAATAAAGTGCCAAAGGTCTCTAACCGCACAATGACTGTAGTAGTAGATATACTTAAATTGCAATAAATGGTACCAATTAATTGATAGGAAAATTGAAACAAAAACTTGGTGAAAACTTCTTAGTAGACGTATAACTTAGGAATTATGCGAAAGAAACACGAAAGACTATTGCGTCAGTGATAGCTATTTAAGTATTGCTCCATATTGACTGTATTTGTTTTCATGCAAATTGCCTTATCTCTGCAATAATCGTCTATGTATTTGATTAAAAATTTGTTCTTTGTTATAGTTTTATATTGGGAAGTATGACATATGTTACCATTGAACTTTGAAATTAGAGTTTAATACCAATGGCCTAATTATCATACGTTTACTGTATGCTGTGAATGATACTAATTAGTTATTAGGAAATCATAAATACAAAGTGTATAGCTGGCACCTGACCTATTTAATTTGAATGGAATGTAATAACGCAATTGACCATTTGTATCAACGATCGAGGCGAAACCAAAAAGACTTCACTAATAACAGACGCTTGGCTCTCACATAAATAGTGGTTGAGAATAGGTATTAAGATTTTCTGTTAGTCAAGTTTAATCTGGTTTTTGGTACTTGGCATGTTTAGTAAGTAATATCATTATAATATTTTATTAATCAGTGCATAAAATCACTGCATTATTTTATGCAGTGATTTATTTTATTATTTATAAAGTAAAAAAGATTTATAGAGTATGTATTTAATTATTTCAAAATTAAGACAACCTGAGATTATTACCAATTATGCCAAGTATAAAAAAAGAATCTAGCCACTACATCGTCATCATTTGCAAAACTAATTCACAAATGCGCGTATGATCTCCCATTAGGCGGCCTATGACCCGTGCTTATATTTACCGCTTTTCGGGGGGTCTTGACAACTGGCAAAAGATTCCAATTTTAAATATGTTTATTTACACTGCCGTTGCACCCGCGAGATAGAGCGAGACAGCGCGATTGGCGCCATTTCATCATTTACACTGTAAACTGATTCTGATTATTATCAATAAACTTTATTTATTAATAAACTTTTACTATTAAAAGAATGGTAAAGATATATAGATATGGTTTCATTTGATATTTATATTCTATAGTGTTTGAATTTAGTAATTAACTTGAAGTCTGTTTCTTCGCAATTTTCTCACGATGTGTTACTATTTAAATAATTATATAAAAAGGTATGAATTTTGCAGATTATTATTTAATATCCACACGTAGGTACTTAAATTAATAATTTAAGATTTTGTTCTACAAAAATTGCAATATATTGCTTGTACTCACTATAAATTTGACTACATAACGGAAACGTTAATGTATATGAGTGTCCTGAAGTTTGCATGATTAATCTTTTTATTTTTACACAAATTTCATATATATATATTCTCCAAATTGATACGATTTCCTTTAATCACAAATTAGTGTCTGATTTTACTATGTTTTATATGTAACCACTACGCTGACGACGGAAAAACGCCCTTCTTCAACTTTTACCTTCATTGGTATATTCTATAAATCTATATATTTCTATCTATGATATAAAAATATCAAAATACTGTTATATTTGATAAAAATTTATTCAAATACACATAAGGACATTAGAAATTTTTATGTTGTGCTCTGATTACTTCTCTTCTGAACTGGTTGTGATGATGCCATTTTTAATCGACAGAATTAATTCCCCTGTAGTGTTTCAAACTAATGTTGTTTGTGGAACATAATTTTAAATTATTCAATCATCAATTCCTTCAAGGAAAGGTGCTAGTAGATATTCCATGGTGCTTTTTAAATTTCATCAGCAAATTGCAAAAGCATTTCCGCTGTTAGTCCCGGCTGGTTCCTTAGACGCCCATGTAATACCTCACGTTGCAGGCGTCCATATATTAAGGTAACCATTTAATATAGGTACAGCATTAAATAGCAAAAAAAAATAGAAACATTCAAACCAGTAGTTGTAACTTTTTTTGTAAAACTACTGTTTTATTTTACTGAATTAGGTGTTCTTTTATGGAAAACTGTATCACTGGTTAATTATTTTGTTTAATTTCGCTGTCATTAGTATGCGTTAGGCTGCCAAGATTTGAAGATTGACTGCTATCATTTTTAGAAGAGCTTCTACTAAAAATAATGATAATCAATCCTCAAATATATGATAATGCCTCGTTTAGAGGTAAATGACGTGTCCCAACATATGCGTACACTGAATAACGGTCGGAAACTGAAGGAAAGGTCGTAGAACTTCTACTAATAATAATAGTAGTCAATTTTCCAATGTTGGTAGACGTCCGCACAAACAAAATAATTGTAGTTAACTATTGTTTTAGTCTGTCGTCTAATTTACCTTATCTATTTTATTAAAAATAGAGCGTTTTTATCACAATACATAAACACATAAATATATTACGCCAATAGGGCATATTATCTCATATTATTGATTTCTCGTCCTCTAATTAACTTCACGACATGTTATTTTACAACATGTGAAACAAAATTATATTTAAACTAGATTGACTTATATTGTTTAAGTGAACAATTGATGTAAGTAGGTAACTTACGACTAGTACTTGTGATGAAAAACTGTGAACTTTAATTAAGATTATTCTAAAATGTAAAGCGCAATCGTGTTTGTTAATATAAGACGGAATAAAATTTAATACCTATCTTGATATTTATTATTATTTTTATTTATAATTAATACAATAACATAATAAAGTATTTAATTTTATATCTTACATTTTGACCTTGGTTGCTTATATTCTATTATTCCTAGCTTGTATAAGTAAACACCTTTTTTAAGTACCTATAATTTACTTGTGATGAACAACTGTGAACTTTAATTGCTATGCGTAAAGCACATTCCTGTTTGATAATGTAAAATGGAATAAAAGGCAATATCATAATAAACATTATTTTTATTTACGATAACAATAAAGTCCATAATAACCTTGTATGCTCACATGTATGTGTATTTAATACCTTATTATATTCCATTCTTTTATTTTTTTTGATAGTTAAATGTTTTGTAATTAGTTGTATCTGCAGCTTTATCCACGTGACAGGAACAAAAATTATCCCAAGTTTTTCTTCAAGCTAAATATCTACTACGTGTATAAATATCACGATCATTGGTTGGTCACTGACACTGACTCACCAAGAGGTAACCGACAAACTTACTTTTATATTTATAATTTATTAGCTTTTACACGCGACTTCTTCCACCTGACTAGGATAAGAAGTAACCTATATTCTTCTCCATCCCATATAGTATGTTCCTGTACCAAATTTCATAGAGATTGGTTAAGCCGTTAAGACGCTAGTTTTTAGTTAGTAAAGAAGCAAACTTATCCATACTTGCACATTTATAATATTAGCAAAGGATTATTTGTGTAAATATTAATTATGGTATTTCTTTATTAGGTAAGAAATAAGAATAAAGAAAAAAGATACTAAAGTTGACTACGAAGTCCGTACAGTAGTTTTTAAACAGCTATCAAAAATAAAAGAATGGGAAGAATATTATAAGGTGGGTTTATATAATCCATTAGTTTATTTGCCAAGTATTTCCTTGAGTTTAGCTTTGTATACTGGTAGCTCCACCCCGTCCCAGTGGAACTTGACTTTGTCGAAGAACCTGAAAAATAGTAGTATATAGTTTTTTATACAAGTCATAATGAAGTCTTACACATGAAACTGAAAACGTTCATATCTCAGAATAAAGTTTCAAAATAACGATGATTGAAACTTAAATTGTTTCAAACGATATAAATCTCAAAAGGTGAAAGAAAGATTTATATCCTTAGAAAATCAAAAATATGAGACATGTTATTCGTTTCGGCGATACAAAAAATATATAATAGTATGTTATATACAATTTTTTTGTATCGCGGAAAGTAAGGAAGAAGCAATGGTCGTACGAAATCAAGTGAGGAGATCTATGATACTAAAAATCCTAATACAAAATCGTTATTTTGATACTAGTATGTTTTGAGCGTAAACCTTATATACTAAAAATATAATACAAGTTTCACTATAATTTCCTATGTCGATTTGTTGGTAACAAAATTGATAACGTTTGCGCAACTACTCACCTAACTTGTAATTCAGCCAATACTTTTTTCTCAAGATCAGTCAGACCGTTGTCCAATACCTCTATACTGTCAACCAATTGCTCCACGTTAAAGAAACCGCAGATATTAGTGTCAATATCGGGCTGATTGAGGGTGTACCAAGTTGCAATGCGTGCTAGTTCTACGTTCTGCGCCTGTAACAAAATTTCAATTATTAAAAATGTTCACCCTCCAAATCCGTATCTGGCGTAATTTTTTTTATACAGTGTTAACATGATATAATAATCTACCAGTAATACCTGGCGGGGTACCAGTGAGGAATGATAGGTAAGAATGAAGTCAGTTAGCCTATCAGTTGGCCCAGTGATGAATTTCTAGGGTGATCACGTGGAAGTCAAGCTGCCATTTCTAGTAATAGAGCTGTTAAACCCTTTAATAATCTAATTGTTATTTTATACATTAGCTTCGTTTTCCAGATGTAATATTTGTACTCCAACTGCATTCTTCCTCAAATGTGTTTTATGAAGTCGATGGATGCAGGTGATTTAGCGCAGTTCCTTGTAATAATCCATTAGGTAAACTTATCATCAGTCATTAAGGATAATAAATGTCTGAGATGATAATACAACGGTTTCATGTTTTAATAGCTTATCCTTACTTTTACGGTACTTACCTTACAATATTCGGAAGCTTTCTTACAGATAGCTTTAATGTCATCACTAGCTGGATGCCATGGCTGGGGTCCCTTATTAGAGAGCAATCCCATACCAGTCGCCGCTGCATTTATTACTCCAATGCCTTTGCTCTAAAAAGTAAGTATTTAGAAATATAAGTACCTTATATAATAAGCTTTGAGACTATTTCTCCACAAGTTTTTCGAATTTCAATTACTATTTGAATGGATACGAGTAGTATAGAAGGTATGGGTTTAACCTATCTCGCTTTTATATTACTTCTAAAATTATTTTTTATTAATACTTTATGGTCTTAAAAATTATAAATAGAATTTTATAATAAGTCTTAACAGTCTTCATACCTTTCTTAACAAAAATGATAGGTTTTTATTTAGTGGACGAATATTATACAAATTTTGTGCACAATATGTTATAAGTTCTGTCACAAGTATTTCAGGTTTCCAGAGCGGATATTCCAGTACCTACGCTAAAATTACTCACTGATGAAAGTATTTATTAGGTAGTTTACACCAACGAAAACAAACGTTAGATATTCCGACCTTCAATTGTTTAGGTCAACGTCAATGGTAAAATAATTAGACCAACAGAACGGAAGATCGGATTAATTATATACTGCATGGAGCTAGTACAAAAAATAACTTTAAACCATCACCTTAAAGTACTTGGTGTAATTCTGCAACCGATTATCTATGAGCGTTGACTTTGCATAAGACAACACCGAAGATATTTTCACGTCCGATTCCTCAACTATCTCTTTCATCAGATCGATATCATAATCGGCTATACCTATATATCTGGCTTTGCCATCTCTTACTGCCTTTTCTAAAACAGGCAACGTTTCTTTCAATATTATCGAGGTGTCTGGAGCAAACGTCGGATCGTGAACCTGTAAAAATAAAATAAATAAAACATATTCATTTCATCGCATGTTTTTCTAGTACCTAAAACGTAAAAGTGGATTTCGATCAAATGATTCAATCAACATTCTCCCCGGGAAAGGAGAGGCATTAGTCTTTCAATTTTTGTTAAGTGGAAACTTGATAGCAGTCGGTGTAAGATCTAGCTTTCGTTCTGTACTTTTTATACCTTTAGTCTAAATCCACTTTTGTAATAAATAATTTGCCGTTGTAATTTCATAGATAAGTCATGCAAGTAATAAGACAGTTGCTATGGGCTTGATTAAATATAATTATCCACCAATTCAGTAGGTTATTAGTGATAACTAATAAAACAAATAGACTCATTCTTACATAATATTCCTATATTATTAGTTTTTTGTTCACGTAGATCTCTGAAGTAGGAAAACGAACGAATTACACTACTTCTAAATGGTATATCATAAATAAAACACATGTCTGTTTTTAAAATAGACTTTCAAGAAAATAATACTGAAAACTGCATCCAATTTGATGCAGTAGTTTTTGCATGATGCCAGAACAAAAATACAGAAAGACATACAAAATTTTTAAAAATATTGTTTTGGAATTTATTAGTCTAATTAAGACACCTCTTATTATTTTTTTTTTAAATATCTTCCATGTATACACATAATTTAGTTACAGTTTTGTTACATTACTTACAATTAGATTCTCTAAAAATAGAAGAAGATTGAAACATGTATGGAGGGATTGTATTGAATATCCGCGTCAGTGTACGCTATTACGAGCTAATGGACCCAGATCACTAAATTACTTGTAGGTCAGCTAGTTCTTGACTTCTAACCTGAATTAAGTCCACATAATCCAATCCAAGGAGATTCAGCGTGTTGTCCACACTAAATTCGGTTTTTTCTGCACTGAAATCAAACATTTTTTCTGTCTCCTTTTCATACCGTCCGACTTTACTGCCGATGAAATATGTCTCTCTGGGGACACCTTGGAGCGCCTATAAATTATATGGCATTTTAGAATCTGGAAAAATATATGAGAACGGAAGCAGCTGGGGTAAGCTTTTGTTCATAGGTCATCAAAATCATCTAGAATAAGATATTTTCAGCTAAGTACCTATATATGAATGTATATGTGTAGTCATTCGTAACATTTATAATGACTAACATTTACAAGCAGACTATTTATTATTACATATGTTTTATCGTAACATTTGTGGAATAGTACCACAGACGATACCTAAATATATCTAGATATAGATAACACAAGTGTAAGATTCACACATTGATATCTAATATCTTACTGATTGATATTTTTATCTTTCCAATAGATCTTTTTTCTATGATTTTTCTATGATTGTTATTTGAGTGAGTTTGATATCAAGCTACATAACATAATAAAAGTTTAAGTTATTATAAACCATAAACAGTAAACATGTAAGGCATAAAAACATATAATCTCCGAAATATAAAGTTAAAAGGAAGTTTTAAAAATTTTGATGCTGCCTGACCTTTTATCTGTCAGCCAATTACAGCTTAACTAGCTGTAACTGCAATTGTATGGTGCTTACGTAATTATTATTCAATTGTTACGGAGAGACATGACATCTTAATCCTCGGAAATGGCGAATTATGAAAGGTACCATGCGCGTCATAGTGTACTCTGTGATGCCCGTGATGTTGTTTACTTCTATAGGTGGTAATTACCACTTTCCATCAGGTGGACCGTCAGCTTATTCATGAAGACTGAGATGTTATACCTATGTACAGTGTAATTTATTATTACATGTATAATAATGGTTATTAGATATGACAATTACCTATTATTACTATAAATACCTATTATTAGATATAAAAATAACCTTTCCAATAGTCCTCTCGGAGCTACCTTGACCGTACCATGGGCCTGTTTCTATGTAGTTTATACCACGTTTGAGAGACTCCTTTATTAATTGCAAACTCCTGTTTTCATCGAATGTTCTGAAAGAATTTTGGGTGACTAAATAAACTTTATTGCAATTACGCGAACACGCGTCGCGCAAACTTGTAATGCGCTGTATGAAAAACACGGAGTTTTAGCTACAGAACACTGTTCTATATATAATACATGGCGGTACGTCGCGTAAAACATTGACCTTATATGTATGAATTTGTTGTTAAAAAATATATTGCTTTATATTTATACCTTTAACATTTACACCCGTTTCTGTTAAGCGTTTAGAAAGTAGCTTGTTACTATTATTAAAATTATTGATGCATTATAGGAGCCTAAGCAACCGAGAAAAAAACCTCCCCAAGGGGGAGGTCTTTTTTCAGCAATGGACAGTAAGACTGATATCATCAACCGAGAACCTGTTGATCAAGATAGGCAAAATCTAATTTTGAAAACTCTCAAAGAGCATTTTTTTTAATTACATATTACAATTATGACGATAAAATCATGCCGTGTCGTGCTACGGTACATTAATAAAGTGTGTATGGGCATGTTAATAGCGGCGACATCGATAGTAGGCAAAGATGTTCTCATTGACATTACATAATAATTTTCAATTTTTTTTATACTATAAAGATGGCAAACGAGCCTATACAGTTTATCTGATGGTAAATATTCACTGTAGCCCTAAGAATAATGCTATAAACGCTTGCAACAATAGAGGACATGTGCCTTGTCAATCCTAAAGAAACCTATATATTTTTTTGACGATAAAATTGTGCCGTGACATGCTTTAACATGCACGAGCGTTCATAAAACGAGTAGTGTCTGTATGACAGCGCAGAGAATAGCCCGGTATGTTTCCATTGATGTGACGTGTTCGTATACATATGACAACATTGTCGTGACCATAACGTCATATGGTACTGTACTGTATCGAACTATTTAATATGCCCATATGTACAATAATGATATCGTCATAGTCGTAGAATACTGACGGATCTATACATTTAATATTTGTCAGATCCGTCAGTATTCTACGACTATGACAATATGGGGCCTGTAATCAGAGGGCCTACCATGAAATTAAATTCCGAAATTTCGGACTCAATTTCGTGTTTTTGTTTATACCAAAATCGGATCGATAAATGGAGTTTAACATTTCGTTCATCATACATCCTATCATAAAAGTCCAAAGGAACAATATTTTAACATATTTAATATTTCCAAATGGCATGTATTACGTAATTTTAACATCAAATTTCTGTTTCGTTTGACTAAGAAATTTCGAAAAACATTTCATGGTAGGCCCCCTGTATCGCGTGCTATAGACAACGATACAGGCGGCAAACATGTTTCAATTTCAAATCTCGCGGCTTCTCGCGAATTGCTACGATGATTCCAGGTCATTCTTATTCCGATAACATTGACAACAATAATTATTCACAGGCACGGAGTTGTGCATCTTCACTGATTTTGGCTGTTTGTAGCTTATAAATAAATATTTCCTGTGATAGATATGGTAGGTAATATTATGATTTTATCAATCTGTCTCCCGTCTGAACAATTATTTTAGTTCACAAAATGCAAAAATCATCGTAATCTATATATGTGGGAACTAGTAGAACTTTAACAACTTAATTTTCAAATTGATAGTATATATATATATATATATATATATATATATATATATATATATATATATATATATATATATATATATATATATATATATATATATATATATATATATATCAATGTCTAGTAATAAACTTAGTATAAAAAAATAAATATATCATCTACATCTAAAGATATGACATGGGGACTTATACTGTAGTAAATACTTTAAAAAATAAAAGCCATACATTTTATTAATGTAATAATGTACAGTGTACAGGTTATCTTTCAATACGCTACAGGTAAACTATCTATACTGTGACACATAGACAGTAGGTAAATAAAAATAATATTTTCCTACCCATATATGTTGGCAAATGCCGCTCCACCTAGGCTGATATGGGAGACCTTGAGTCCCGTAGCACCGAGTTCATTATATCTCATTGCGATAAATTTTGTTTACAGACACTTAAACTTTTCTATACGTATTAAATTGAACACGATGTATACTTACGCCTTTCTAGTAAAGACTGATAAATAAAGTGTACTCTGTGCTTTTGTTCATTGTGTATTGTAGATTATATATAAATTGACAATAGAGACTACTGTAGAATTTTTTATACTGGATAAATCCAATTAAGGAAACATAGCTCGAGTTTTGTTAGTATCTAAATTTCCTACTTACATATTTAAATATCTATTACGCAAATATATTATACATATATTACGCAAATTAGTCATTCTTAATTCGAGGTGCACCTGAAATGGCCAAGTGGACCATTTGAGTAGTAAAGGTGTATGATTAATGCAAATACGGACCTAAGTCGCATTACTTATCTAGAGGAAGGGACCATTAAAAATGGGCTATTATAGCTCCATTACTAATAACATTCCCAATCAGGTCGACCTCCACACGGTTACCGCTGTAAATCATCTAGTTAATTCTTGTCGAATTCGTCAGAACGGGCTAACTGGCTTAATTCGTTCTTTGAAAAAAAAAAAGCCGCATAACTTTAAAAATCCCTGATTGATAGCTAACAAACTTATCACAATAAAATTTATATCTGCAAACATCGATGTGCACAATTTTCCAGATAGGTATGTAGTACCTTTTCTTTATTTAGATAATTGAAAATAATAATTAATAACCACAAAAGAGTAAGGGCCTATTTCTTCTAAACAATGTAATAAAATAAGGAATTTTTTAAGACCTTAAACATAGCATACATAACATCAGAAAACTACCAGAGATATAATGCAGGTGCACTGTTTTTTAATGGCAACACTTTTTGCTGATTCGGTTCAAAAGATTGTCTCCTATTGGTTTAATTACAGTAACTATTTTTTCAGATACAATGTAAATAAACGTTTGTACATATTGTTTGTTAAAAAATTTGTTGTTTTGAAAAGTAATTTTACTTCTAACAGATATTAAATAATTATAATAACGTCATAGATCAAGTCTTGCGAGACACTTCATCTATCTGATTATGGGCTGAAAATGCAGAGATGATAAATTCGAAAATTTAAGTTGCTTTCGAACTACTAAATGAAATAAATTACGATACGTGGAAAAAGTAGAGGTCATACTTATCAAAGTAAAGTCTTACTTTCACATGCCAATCATTAAATGATGTTGATGAAGGAAAGGATATAATAATTTCACCTTTCAAGTAGTAAAGTTATACAAAAGTTGAGAAGCTGTAAAGAAAATTATTGAAAAAGCTATTACATAAGATAATGAAAAATAGCGAATCTGACAGAGTTTGCGTAAATGAATTCTATTTGATTTGATGGACTAAGCATGGGCAACATTAACAAATACCTATTAAGCATAATGTTACTATACAGTTTCTGCCTACCCTAATGGGAGACAGGCGTGACAGATATGTATGTATGTATGTTACTATACAGTCTGCTCGATTTATATAAGAACTTTAGAATGGCAATCGAACTCCCGAGACAAACTTCCGTGCTTCCAAAAAATTAAATCGAACATTTTGGAAAAGAAAGAAACTAGTGGAAATAAACATGAACAAATGTCATGTCAATTTCAATAAAAAATCGAATAGTAATAAAATTTGACAATTGTCATAAAAATAGATACAAAACAATGATTGTTGGTTCAATAAAAATATAAAAAATAAAACGTAAATTTATATTGCATATTCATGTCACGCTATAGAAAATAAAAACGATTATGTATTAATAATAGCTACACATCTCACACGAATAACGTTAAAACCCTATTCGTGTCCATGAATGAAGAAAAAGAAATAGAACACTTAAGTTTACCTAGAATAAAACAGAAAAAAATGAATGGTAGAGGTAGAAAGATAAGGATTAATGAAGACAAAATTTAAACACATTAAATTTCCGGCATATAGGGTAACAGTTGTCAACTAATTTGATATCTGTAGTACGAATTACTGAAAAAGGCTACAACGTATTTTTTTACAAAAGACAAAACAATTATTAAAAACCCAATAAGAAAATCAATAATTACAGCAAGGAAAGAAAATAAACTATACAATATAGATACCAATTTAAACACAAATTATAAAGTAAATCAAGTCTATAGAGAAGAATCAAAATAAATATAATACAGTATTGTCAACGGCGAAAGCCGAGTTCGTGACTTTAAAATTTAGAAAATGGATAAATAACTAAATCTATGTACGAAAAATTGATTTTAGTTATTATAGACAAAAAGAAGTTATTATTTGTAACAACAACCAATCAGGACAACAGTTGGCAATAAACCCTCTTATTAGTGTGAAATCAAAGCATAGTGATATCCGTCAATATTTTATAAGGGATAAGATGTAACTTTAATGTGCAACAAAGTGTGTGCCAGTTTTCTCCTTAGCAACAGACGGCATGATAGCCAATATCTTTAAAAATCCTTATTTCGCTTTAAATATTAATATTATCGTCAAGAGTTTGAACTCCCACAGCAGGTAGATACTATTCTTGAGAAGGAGTATAAAAACAAGAAAATCGTATATAACCATATATCTTTTGATCAATAAATTAAAAAAATAAAATTCAATTCACTTGTTAAAAAATATTCTTTGTAATATCATAATAACATTTTAAGTTTAAAACAATATTTAATAATTAGTTTCCCTGAAGACCCCATAGTATTTCTTCTTTTACTGTTATCTATTGTCAAAACTTAGAATTGTTCATAAAGAACATTAGAAGTCACGTGTACGTGGTTTTACACTTTATATTACTGGTAACACCACTAAATGTTACCAGCAAATGTCAGTTGTTTTGGCTGTCATGTTGCGTCTGTCACACTGATTCACAATTGGTATTTTTTTCATCCGCATCGCAGTCTTGCTCAGTTCAGTTCGGTATTAGTAAAGTCTATTGAAACTGTAATTTCGTGTTACAGAAGTTTATAAAAATTGATTAAAATATTAATAATAAAGATTTTATTTATGGAAATGATGTAAAATGTGAATATTGATAAAAGGAAATCTAACTTTTGTAATGTAAGTACTGACTCTACGAGAAATAAATAGTATTTAATATTGTTTACATGACTTGAGACTCGTAGTGAATATTTTTTTCTATAACGCTTTGTGCTTGTTTTTGTTTGTCTTTTGTTTAGCATTGTGTTCTTTAAGAAATTTATAAAACTATTAATAGTAATTCATGTAACATGGTATGCGGTATTCTAAATACAAAATTTGTAGAGACAAGTTCATACAAAAATATTTTCAATAATTGTTGAATAACAACTATTATGAGTAATATTGTATATAATGTGAGTAAATCCGATATTAATAATTTTAACAAAAATTTAAACAATTGGTGTATAAACATGCTACTACATAAATATATAGTGCATACAAATATAATTGAGTTAGGTGTACATAAATCATATGTAGACCATAGGGTCCTAATGAAATAGTAATTTTATTATGACTATATATTTAGTAGTATATATTTAAAATTATTTTGTTATTTATTTACATTGTTACAAGGTGGTGGCCTGGTGGCTATAACACAGGTTTCCTTAGTTCAGCCATCAGTCTCCACAATACAAAAACTGTGTATTCTTATGTGAATAGTTTGTTCATACAGTATTGTGGAGAATGAATAAATATTTTGAATTGAATTGACTTATTGTGTATTAGAAGGAAAATAATATTTTGATATTGATGTATTAAAATAAATATTTATTTAATTACACAACAGTAATAAAATAAAAAAAGAGTAATAATATGCTTAAATGGCTTTCCAAAAATCCTAATCTATTTCAGATAATCTGATTTAATTATCAAAATTATGCCTCCCACATAGAATTCCATAAGAAATTATTGTGAGCCATCTTTGAAAAAACAATGTAACATTGTGCATAACAGGGTGTTGCCATAAATCTATATATATTAAAAAAATTTTTATATGTAGCACATTTCTAAGCAACAATAACTAATAAAATGTTATTATGCAGAGGCATTTATTTATTAAATTAAAATTTGACAATTTTTTATTTTACAATTTCTCAGTGGTATCATGCATTAATTATATTAGCGTGATGATAATGCTATCACCTTTAACACTAAACTTACCAAGCGCGGTCTATTGACCATTTTTAAATTTAGTTTAAAAAATTTCATGTATAACATTATGTATCACCATGTAACTTATTGACATTTCCTATAATATACATACAATCCATTTTTCAATATTTACAACTTACTATTATTTACTTGTTTATTATTCAATTGGCTAAAATTTCTTTCTATATTAAGATACATACTATATTTTAAAGCTGTTATTTGACCATTCATGGTAGGATTAGGTATACATGAAATGTCTGTAGGTTTAGTGTTAACATTTCATAGTATGGGTCTGATGAAAATAAATATAATATAATATATATATATATATATATATATATATATATATATATATATATATATATATATATATATATATATGAATATAAATGCAGTAATAATATGAGATCTAACCTGAATCCATCAGATTGGCGAGGTCAGTCATTACTGTACTACACTATTAAGGTCTGATTTTGTTTTCTTTTTATCTTATGCTGTGTATGTAATTTTTCACAATTTATCAATCTTTTGTTTGTTATTCACAGCTAGTTGTAAATAATGTTCTAATGAATAATATTTTAATTATTCAGAATCCAGCATGAGGGCTAGAGTGCCACGTTGCCGGTCATTTTCGACTCGTATCTTGGCTATACTACTCTTGGTACTTGGTTTCGGGGCGTACTGCTATTACTTCAGTTCTCCTTCATTCAACAAAACAAGTAAGTGATAGTTAATTTACACAATTAAGTGATAACACAGCAACTTTATCATTTTATTAGATATGTTAACTATGTTTTTTAAATTATACACTCATCACTTTTCTCCTAATTAATATTTTTAACAAAAAAATAAAATAAAATGCTGTCCTAATAGACAATCCTATCAAAATTCTAAATTTTCTTCTCCAAAAATCTTATTTTGACTATCACCAACAAATAAATCAACAATTTTCTTAACCTATTCTCAGGTGATATTCTCACCAGCAAACATAACTTAATTTTTATATAGATGTAAACTATTCACATTAAAGAGAACAGTATTACCTATCTAATTAAATTAATTTTAGTAAAAACTCCTTATATATGTACTTACTGTAAAAATAACTAAACATGATATAATTGACTCTACATACAGATGTTAGAGAAAAAATGTACCTATGTGTGTGTGTGTGTGTGTGTGTGTGTAAATGAGATAATGATATAAAACTGGCCAGAGTCTTATAACAAAATATTCTAAAAATAATCAATTGCTAAAAATATCATATTAGTTATATGGGTTAAATAATGATGTAACTATTTTAATTTTTCTATTAATTCAGTTATACGAATTTTTTAATTTTTTACAAATGTATTTTGTCTAAATGCATAAACCGCAATGAAATAGAATCTGTTGAATCTATTATTAATTCACTTTCTAAGTCAATGAAGACGCGCATTTTTGCAGTTTTTTTCTCATAGATAAAATGACGTGCTTCTTTCAAGATGCATTTCTATTAGACTAATGAAATAAATGTGACAATTTGGAGATTTGTTACTCAGCCATGTATAAATGGCTGAATGAATTTTTATGAGATTTGGTATAATACGAATTTATTCAACGTGTAGGATACTTTTTACTATGGTAAAATACCCATTTCCATAAATGATACAAAAATTAAATGTGTGAACGACGTCGCGAATACTTTTGTAATATAAAATATTTTACTATAGAATTAGGAATCCTCATATGGACCGCACTTTTTATAATTAAGCATATAAGGTATAACAGTAACACATCACGTCACTAACCACCAAATATAGATCTAAGTTTCCTCATGGACTAAATTCATATACCTCGACAATTATAATTTGGACAACTCATTAATGACCTATTATTGGACATCGGTCTCCCCACTTAAGAGGACGATATAGTCTATTATTATCGCCTTGGCTAGACTGCTTGCAATACGGTTTTGTTACGGAATTTCCCTCCCTTGCAGTAGTGCATTGTGGTGCTCCCTTAGTCACCCTTAACGACATCCAGGAAATAGAAAGGAGTGGTGACACATATTCCTACTCTACCATTACATGATTCTTGTGAAGTAGTTGTGAATTAAAACTTAACCCAATTTAGAAGCAAATCACATTTTTATATAAACACACACAAAGATATAGATAAACTAATATTTAGTATAAGTCAAATAAGTTAAGTGAAAATTACAAATATGTAATATAGGATTTAATACGTGCATGTAGCGAGTATATATATATATATATATATATATATATATCGTTTATATGTGTATATATTGATTTCTTAAACTATCTTCAATAACTTTGGCATGGTTTTTTCTAAGACATTCTTTTTACATTTATGTGTAGGTTTTATATTTTTATATACAATAAAAGATAACCGTGCAGTTAAATCACTGTGTGCGAACGCGTACTATCTTGAAGTTCATAATAGGTTGAGGTCTGTGATTGATTAATATGATTTGATGGACTGTATTATACCTACTTTTAGTATATACTTATTAATAAAATCTGCTTATATACAACTAATGGTATGTGGGTGTTTAGTGACAAAAGTTTCTGTGTCATGTCTTTAATATCTGTAGATAAAATAAATAAAGAGATAAATGTTCACGATTATAATTCCTACTGGAGTAGCCAGCGACGACAGTTCTGATCCTGGTGAGCATAAAACTCTACGTACCTATATTTTGTCAACTATATTGAATATTGAATATTGGAATCAGAGATAGAGTGCTACTGTTATTCAGATTAATTAATATATTTACATATGCATGTTGAAGACAAGTTTCATTTAAAATGGAATATTTTGTATGTCCAAAATATGAAATGTCTCTAGACACGATGAAAATCATAACAACTATGCTCTATGACCTTCCGCGTGTGTAAACGGCGCCAACATCCAATCCAGTCCATCACGACCGCGACTCGCGAACTTGTTTGACCAGTTCTTCAACAAATATCGAATGCTCTGTGACTCACGTGCCGCTGTCAATTTGTAATTTTAACTTAATCGAATTTGTCTCAAATGCAATAAAAAAATAATTAAAAGTTATTTAAAATTAAATATAGATAAGTTATATAAATAGTTATTTAAAATATGTAAATAGTAAGGAAACGTATTATGTAAATCTTATATAAAAAAAATTTATAGGTTGTATTTCCAACTTTTTCCGCGTAAATCAGTAACTGTATAAAGTTAGGATATAACTTACTAGTGCACCAAATTTCATTTAAATTCGTTCATTGTTGCATGAACGAGTAACAATTATCCATTCATAGTTATAAGTTTTTACATTTATTATATTATATTAATAGGATATTGTTGGATAGGATATGTCGGGTGGACTGTATTGTATGTATTCATCTATAGTATTAAAATTCGTAAGAATAATAATAATACTGTTCATCAAATAACAGTTACGTTGATGTGTCTATACATTTTTTCTTTTATAACTTAAAATTGATAACAATCGGTGCGGTGACAGCTTGAGTTAATATAAGGACGGTGCCATTATAGGTACTTATAGCGAGGGTTATGATTGTCTGGTGCTCAAGATCTAAATTGATACGCGAGCATAACCGTGAACCACTGTCAAGGTCTAGACTCCAGTTAGATACTATAAATTAACGATTCTCAAAGTTTACTGGCTATGGAACAATTTTGATATATTAAATATTTTACACAGCCTTACAATAAGGTCCTGATTTTATATTAGAAGACATAATATGTTACTTTTTATTCTGGTTCATTAATATATCCTGGTCACACAGATGAAGTTGAAGTAAATTTATTATATATATTTATAATATAATATAAATAATGTATATTTTTAATTCCACCTTTATTTTATCTTCAGTATGTTGTGTTTTTAATAAAGTTTTTTTTTTTATTTTCTTTATGACTATTTCATGACTATTAATGCAAGCACTATAGTTGGTGCTCCACCATCTATTTTGACCCGCAATCCTACTAAATAATAAATTAGATATATTTAGATATTATAAATCATGCTTAAACGGATTTGAATGGAATTTTGTACGTAGATCAAATCCCAGATTAACATTACAAGTTATATTTTATCCAAACTCACGCGGACAAAGCGTAAATTGGCTTACTATTTTACTTAGAGCGCATATATTGAACTTTGTCATAATCTAGAATGTACGGCAGAATAATTTCCTTCGGTTTCGAATTCAACGTTCCTTGCGAATTGTTAGCATTCATAGTTGTATTACCAACATTATAGAGGCAGTACTATTACGTAGGCTTTTCACTAAGGTGGCTTTCTTCCTATTGTTGTTATTACACAATCACTTATTGTCGCTGTGTGTGCCATGTTTTTTATATTGTGAATTTCATTATTCATTATGACTTGCATGGGAATTCTTGGCAAAATATATTAACGTGTCAAACTCCAAATAAATTGTAATTTTCCCAAATAAATGATTATTGGAGCTTTTATTAGCTCGCATGGTGCACATTAGTGCACGGACTATGTTTAGAAATTAACATTTGTTGCTGAAATAGCAGGACTAGTCTTACAAACTCCTTTGTAATTTGTGGTTTAAATATTGTATTTAATTAATTATTTATTTTTTATAAATTGGCAATACAGTTTTTCAACACGAACCGGCGTTACAATCAGTTTACAATAAGTAGTATTATCTGACAGGTGTCATAAGGAGGAGTTCCTCATGACCCCTCATATAATATCCTATTTGATAGTATCGTAGGTAGATCAGATTGTCTGTTATTCCAAGTGTTTACTTAAAATAAGCCTGTAATAAATCAATTGCGTATAGTGGAAAGTTCTCTGCTTGTATATACATCTTTTGCTTTATCTACTTTATAATTCATTTGAAACATGTACGCTAGTTTCAAAAACTAGCCTGAATAGTGACTATAAACATGGATTTTAATAAATATCACATATACGAGTAGACTATATGCGTACTTATTTTCTGCTATATGTTACCACTAATAGCTTCACTTTACTTATATGAAATCGATGTTGAAGAAATTTAAACTGATTAACAAAAACAGACGGTTTACTATGAATAGATAGCTTTTATAATATAACAGATAGTAGTTTAATTGTAGGGTCCGTAGTTCTCATAGAATTTGAGGTAAATACATTGTCTCTCTCCATCTATGATTATGTTTCTGATTATGTTATTAGTATAGTGTATTTTGTTTTATCCACGCAAAATGTCGTTGCGTATATGTAGGAAAAATGTTTTGTATATTCATGAACGTAGGTGGAAATATGGAGATGTAGGTGGATAGGGAACGACTCGACCGCACTACACGGCAATGCAGTAGTATAGAAAAAAGAAACTTACCTCATTAGTAATAGAGATTCATATTCACAGACTCATTAGTCCAGATTTATTTAATATTTTAATGTAAATGAATTTACGCGGGAGGAAATATAATAGGAAGATAAAAGTCTTCCGGTGTGTAACAAGACATTCATGTTTTTTTTAACTTTGCTAAGTATTATCAACATTTATATAACAATAGAGGATTCTGATTTTAGTAACGTATATACATATAAATTTAGTATGCGAAATACTAAGTTTATATCAAGCTTGTCCAAAATTAGAAATTTATTTTTAAGTTATATTTATGGATTTTTTTTTTAATAGCAATAATCCGATATATGTGCTCATTCTATCATGGATAGGATATTAGCTCTTCTGCA